GTGCCTGGCCTCTGGGGCCCCGGCACGCCCTGCCAGCTTCTCTCCCTGATGGTCATGACCAGGCTTCGACTCTGAGTTCCAGAGCAGCCTTGCGGGGCCAGGGGACAGCTTGAGGTGGGGGGAGGAGTTGGGGCAGTGGCCACAGGGAGAGAGACACACCGAGACCTTAGCACCGTCATGGGAACCATTAATCTTTTTTTTTTTTTTTTTCTTTTTTGAGATGAAGTCTCACTCTGTTGCCCAGGCTGGAGTACAGTGGAGCGATCTTGGCTCACTACAACCTCCACCTCCTGGGTGCAAGTGAGCCTCCTGCCTCAGCCTTCTGAGTAGCTGGGACTACAGGTGCCCGTCACCACAGCAGGCTAATTTTTGCATTTTTAGTAGAGACGGGGTTTCACTATGTTGGTCAGGCTGGTCTTGAACGCCTGACCTTGCGATCCGCCTGTGATGTGCCCGCCTCAGCCTCTCAAAGTGCTGGGATTACAGGCGTGACCCACCATGCCCAGCCGGAAGCTGTGAATCTTGACTGTGTCGGGGTTCAAGCCAGAACTCTCTGCAGAGGAGGAGGAAGCCCGATCCGTGAATGGTGAGGTTGTGGAGGGGGCAGCTGCAGGGGTCAGAGGCTGAATGTCAGGCTCTCCCAGACCCCAGCAGTTGAGCGGCAGGAGGTCCAGTGAGAAGGACAGATGGATGAATGGAGGTCTCTGGTCAAAGCCTTCTCTTTCCACCTGCTGCTGGGGGGAGGCGGCTGCCCAATGTCCACCTATTTGGGAGGCTTTGAGAGGCAAGGTGGGCCTGGGCACCGAGGGGCTATCCCCACAGGAGGCACAGAGAAGGGGTGGAGGCTGCCACCACTCACTTCTTCTAAGCCAGGGCTGAGCACATTTTTTTGGTAAAGGGCCAGACTCTAACTACATTGGGCTTTGCAAGCCAGGTGGGCTCTGTGGTGACTCTTCGGGTCCGCTGTTGCAGGGGGCCAGTTGCCATATGTAAATGAATGGGCATGACCATGTGCCAATAAAACTTTATTGACAAAACAGGTGGAGGGCCGGATTTGGCCGCAGGGCTGTAGGTTGCCAGGCCTTGCCCTAGAAGGTACCTGCTCTTAACGCAATGTACCCACAACCTGAGTGTCTCTGATCTGCCATCCGTGGGGGGGTCAGATCTGTTTAAGAGTCCCTCTTTAGAAGGCTGTCCACTGACACCCTTCTGGTGGCCTCTGTGACCGACCAGAGCATGCGTCAAAGATGCATTTTTGTTTTTCCCCACTTTCCTCAGCGATCTCCCCAGAGCCTGGCACAGGGGTTGCACAGAAATACTGCAGCTGCAATAAATGGGCCAAACTCAGGCACTGATCACGGAGTCTCACATGCTGCCCGGGAGGCGAGACCTTGGCACTGGGGCGCCCACCCCGGCCCAAGGGCAGTCCTCCTCGGCCCCACACGGTGGCACTTTTGGGGACCCATCCACTCATCTTTTATCCACTTGGCAGACAGCAATGGCCTGTCCCAAATTGCCTTCCCGTTTCCGAGCGTTTTGGAGAACAGTGGAAAGGGCATTGCGGGCACCACCTGCTCCTGCCCGGTCCCTCCGCAGCCTGGGCAGGCTCAGGATGCCGGCCCATCAGTCAGTGCCACACAGGGCCCGGGGAGGAGCGGCACCCTGAGGCTTTGCTTTCAGGCTGTGTCTGTCCCCGCACACAGGGAGGGAGGGACACAGTCTTTTTTTTTTTTTTTTTTTTTGAGACGGAGTTTCACTCTCGTTGCCCAGGCTGGAGTGCAATGGCGCGATCTTGGCTCACCACAACCTCTGCCTCCTGGGTTCAAGCAATTCTCCTGCCTCAGCCTCCTGAGTAGCTGGGATTACAGTCATGCGCCTCCATGCCCAGCTAATTTTTTGTATTTTTAGTAGAGACGGGGTTTCACCTTGCTGACCAGGATGGTCTCGATCTCTTGACCTCGTGATCCACCCGCCTCGGCCTCCCAAAGTGCTGGGATTACAGGCGTGAGCCACCGCGCCTGGCCAGAGGGACTCAGTCTTTGTCGGGAAGTCGCAGCGGGTGGAAGGTCCGAGCCTCCTGTGGTCACAGGCTTCACCCCACCCTGCACCCCTCCTCCCCACTTGTGGCAGACAGGGAAACTGAGTCCTGGCGATGTTGAGAGGATGCTGGAGGCAAGACGGCCCTGGAAAGGAGACAGCGCCGGGGCTGGGGGGTGGTTGGTGGACGAAGCTTTCCTCAAGGGCACCCTCTGCTCTGGACGCAAGCTCTCGGGTGGACGGACACTCCTGCAGAGGGGACGCCGGGGCCCAGGGAGGGATGGCCTGGCCAGGTCCCCAAGAGCCCTGGCTACTGGGCCTCGGTTCCTCCTGGTGTCCCAGCCCCCATAACACCACAGACACCCAGGGCCCAGTCCTGAGTCCCACCCCACCTTCACCCCTCCCTGGAGGCGACTTCGTCCTCTAGTTCCAACACCTGCCAGCTGACGGCCCCTGCCCACCTGCCCTGGGGCAGCCTCCCCAGACCCAGGCGTCTTCACCTGGATGTCTCGCGTTCAAATCTAACCCCCTCCCAGCTCAGCACCTCCTTCCAGGGGCTTGAGTGATCTGCAAATCCTATTGGCTCTGCCTGAAAATACACCCAGAGTCCACCAGCTTCTCACGACACCTGACCCCTGCCCTGGTCCCTGGCTTCTGCCCTCACCCCGTCTCCTCCCCGAAGCAGTAACCAGAGGGCGCCTGTGAGCACCTGAGTCAGGTCCCATCCCTCCCCTGCCCACAGCCCTCCATGGCTCCTACGTCCCTCGGGCTCAGAGCCCAAGTCCTCCCCGAGGCTCACCAGGCCCTGCACAACCTGCCTCCCTCCTCCCCCTGCTCCCTCTGCTCCCATCGCAGGGGCCTCCTCACGTTCCTGCAGCACACCAGGTGCAAGAGGGTCACCTGAGGGAGGCTGAGCTGTCCCGTGTTCCCTGTGCTGACCCCGTGCCTGGCGGGGGTGGGCACACACTGACAGAGACCTAGGTCGGGATGGCTGGGTCCCGGTGGACACCCAGGGCGGTGAGCCCTAGCGCCTGGCACATCCACCAGCTGCCACCACAAGTGACGCTCCTGGGGCTTAGGTGTCACCGGAACTGGGTTGGGGACAGGGACAGGGCAGCTGCTAGCTGGGACAAGTGAGGCCAGGCTCAGGCCCTCCGGGAACTGTGGGGGAATTGTGGGGTTCGCTGCCTCAGCCACCCGGCCGCCCAGCCTGGCCACAGTCGGGGGGGAGCACGCCAGCTGTTGTGTGTTGAGGACCCCAGAGGTGGGAGTGGAGGGATGTCCAGCTCTGGAAGCAAAACACATCCCGGGAGAACGGGGCGACACCAGCCCCACCCCAGGGAGACCCCGACATCGGTCCCCCCAGCCCAGGCTCAGAAATGAAGACAATTTCAAAGGCGTGGAACGGGGTTTCGCAGTGCTCATGAACCTTTAATTCATTATGAACCTAGAGGCAGGGAAATTAGGCAAAAAATACAGCGTATCCTTCATCTCGGGTGGGGAAAAAACCAGGGTGCTGGGTTTTGTCTTGTCTTTGCACAGAGTAAGACACAGAGAAACCTTCGTGGGGAGAGTGTGCAGCTCCGGCCTGCCCTTCCGTGGCCCGTCCACGGGATGGGTGCAGCCCCCTAGGGACCACGGCTGCAAGGGCATCTGCCCGCTTCTTTACAACATAAATAGCATTTTCAAACAACATAAGAATACAGTGTCAGCGCCACGCTGGGTGAGGCTGCTTCGTGCAGAGGGACACCCCCACGTTCTGGCTGACACCCCCCCACCTCCCCAACCCCGGCCCTCTCCAGGGTCACCGCCCCCCTCCCCCACCAAGAAAATGAAGGGCTTGCTCCTGCGCCACGCTCTCCTCCTTTCCCTTAGTTCTCTCCAGCCCGGGCCCGTGCGGACACCCTCTTATAATATAAACATTGCTTTATTTATCTACTTATTTACTTTTTGAGACAGGCTCTCACTCTGACCCCAGGCTGGAATGCAGTGGCGCAATCATAGCTCACTGCAGCCTCAACCTCCTGGGTTCAAGAGATCCTCCCCCCTCAGCCTCCCACATACTGGGACCACAAGCGCGCACCACACCAAGCTGGTGTGTAAAACATTTGTAGTGATGGGGTCTCACTACATAGCCCAGGCAGGTCCCAAACTCCGGGCTCCGCGGTTTTGTCTTTGTCATACAAACAAGTGATCCCCTCCACCCCTCCCTCTGGCGGGAGAAAGCACCGCTGGCGAGGGAGAGGCACCCGGAGGAGGCGCTTCCTAGCCTGGGCTGAAGGCCATGTCTTCTCCATCAGCTGAACCCACTCCTAAGAGGCAGATTCCCCTCAGGTGACAGCAGCGTGGGTGGGCAGACCGAGGATACCTGGCCTCGTCCCTGCTCAGAAGCGGGTAAATGGGACCCCCAAAGGCCTGTCTTGGCCCTGTGTCCCCTGACCCACTCAGGGTCACACCTCAATAGCTGGGAAGCTGCCCACACTCATACTGACCAGAAGGGCCTGGGACCTCCTCACCCTGAGGCGAGGGAGGGGCGGGGGGCTTGGTCTGCAAGGAAGCCTCTGGAACACCTGTGATTCTCTTGGGGGAGAGAAACAAAGACGAACCCCGGGAGAGAGTTCACTCGGCAAACGTGGGCACAGCGGAGGCCCCAGACCCCGGGCTTCCCCTGGCACACAGTGGGGCCAGCAGAGAGGCCGGGCCTCCTCCCAGCAGGCGCAGAGGGGTACGGGCGCTGCCCGGACTATCGGAGTCCAGGAGCCGGGGGAGGTGAGGTGAGACGGTGAGTGACGGGCGGCTGAAACCGGGGCGCCCTGCCCCCCGCCGGGCTGACCCGGCAGTCCCCGGCCTCCTTCCCTGCCTGCTCTGCAGCCACATCGTGGTATTTTAAAACAACAGCAAACAAAACACAGCAAGCCGCTTCAGTCTCGCAGCGAATCCGGGTTCTGAGAAAAACGACGTGTTTTTGTTTTTTGTTTTTCTTAAAGCCACAAATCTAGAAAACAGCTTTGGGGATATTTTCCTTTGTTTTCCTTTTTCTCCTGCTTTTTTTTTTTTAAACAATATGTATTTATAGAAAGAGCCTCACAAAGGTGGTTTATGTACAGAAGTGACCGTCTCAAAGGTTGCTCAGTAGGGCATTGCAGTAGCACCTTTTCGAGAAGAAGAGAGCTTCCATGGTTTAAAATTCTGAGTAGTTGAGTGGGGTGCAACCCCGGCTGGCCCCCGAGCCCGCCTGGCCCTGCTCCCTGAGTCTGGGGCCGCGTGCGGCGTCCCGCTGGCTCCTGTCGCCCTAGGGGGCACCCGCGGCTTGGAGGTGGCCTCTTGGGGGCCAGGGACACGAGGACAGGAATTCACAGCAAGCGAACGCCCAGGGCGTGCCATGGCCTGCCCCGCTGGGCTGAGGGTCGCCTGAGCGGCCAGCTGTCCTAGAAGGGGGCTCCGGGCCGGCCCTGCGCCTGCAGGAGGCTTTCCACGAAGGCCACGTAGTCCTGGCTCCGCCCCGAGTCCTCCGTGGCGAGTGGGGTGCCCACGCGCGGGCGCTTGGCGGCCTTGGCCTCCTCCCCCAGGAAGGCAGGCTCCTGCGGCGCCCCCGTGCTCAGTGACTGCGGGAGAGCGGAAGTGCAGTGGTTAGCGTGGTGGAGGCTCTGCGCGCCCCGGCCACTGTCTACGGCCTGAGACCAGCCGGCCAGACACAGACCCCTGATCCTGCCAGTGGAGGGAGGGGGCCCGCACCCCACCCCAGCCTCTGGCCCCTAGTGGGGTGGGAGCCCTGGCTGGGGCTGTGACCGTCCGTCTGCCTGGCAGCTCCATCTGTTCCCTGAGGGACCCCTCTGCAGCTGAGCAGCTGTGCCCAGGAGCAGGCACCTCCGCCGTGGGCTCTGCCCCTCAACACCTCCCCTCTGCATCAGGAAGAACATAAAGGAAGCCGGTGAGGGCTGCGGGAGAGAAAGCCAGAGAAAGCCGGCGCGGCCGCTGCCTGCAGAACTCCTGCTCCCATTTAATAAGGAACGCTCAGGAAAGCTTTCGTAGCCTCCAGCTTGGGCAAGCGACTCTGCCTGTGCCCCGAAACCTGCTATGGCTGACGCTGCCCCTTGCAGGGCTGGGCGGCGCAGGTCCCGCAGGGCACAGGGGGCTTGGTGGGTCTGCTCTGCATGCGTGACAAGGGGAGGGACCGGAGATCCTCCAATCCTCCCTCCCCACACGACCGGCATCACCAGGAGCTGTGCACTTGGGCTTAAGGGAGAGGAAGGGTCTCCTGCCAGGAGCCCAGGGGCCAGCTGTGCTGGGCAGAGCCAGCGGGACACCAGCAGAGGTGTGGGAGGAGGTGGTTGGCCCACGCCATTGGGAGCCGTAGTCCATGCCCTGCCTCGTCCAAGACAGGCTCCCTGAGAGTCACCGGCAGCCTCCAGGCCGGCCCTGCGCACTCACCAGCCGAGAGCGGACCCTCTTGGGCAGCTCCTCCTCCAGGGTGAAGATGTCTCCTCGCTTCACCGTCAGCTGGGACCCGTCCTCAAACTCCACCTGCAGGGGGGATTCGGCTCTCAGGGGCCCCGCATAGCCAGGCTGGCAGGTGCTCCAGGCAGGCCCTGGCTGTGCGAGCCGGGAGGCTGGCCCCTTGGGTGCATGGGGCCCGCAGGAGGCCACAATGTCCACCTCTGACACCGCTTGCAGCAAACAAGATCAGCCTGAGGGCCGTGCCCCATGGGGCAAGGGTGGTGGAGGATGGGACAGCCTGGGGCAGTGGGGGGCCCAGCAGCCCCCACCTGGAGACAGAGCCCTCACTCCTCACCTCCTCCCAGCTCGACAGACATCTGTCTCCATGAAGACACAGCCCCAGGACGAGCGCACAGAGTCGCTGGGTGGGCACAGAGCAGGACAGAGGCACAGCACACTAACAGGGCCTGGGAGGCAGGTGAGGCCAGGCAGGGGGACATGGGGGCCTGAGCTCAGGAGCCCCCGACCAGAAGATGAAGGGCAGGGCCCCCGGCTTATGTGTGGCCCCTGAAAACTGCTCAGTCACCTCTTCTCTTCGATTCAGAGACAAACCACGCCCTTCCAGCCTCCCCAGCTGGTGTCTTGTTCCAGGCGGCAGATGCCTGGTTGGCGAGGGGCACTAGGGCACCCCGCTTCCTCCTCGTCAAGCTTGGTGCCAGCTCAGGCTCACCGAGATCCTCTTGGGGTCTCTGGCAACACAACGCTGTCCCGTGAAGGGTGCTCCAGAGGGACGTGTGTCCCCAGGCCCACTTCGTAACTGCGATGGACCCATGTCCCCGAGCCAGGAAAGGGGCCGCGGTCACTCCCTGGCTCTAACCGCCGTTCTGCTCTCGGGGGAGAACGTTCCCATCGCAGAGGGCTCGCTTTCCATGTTTAAAAACTCAAAACAAGCCGGGCATGGTGGCGTGTGCCTGTGGTCCCAGCTACCCAGGAGGCTGAGGTGGGAGGATTTCTTGAGCCTGGGAGGCCGACGCTGTAGTGAGCTCTAATTATGATGCTGCGCCCCAGCCTGGGTGACAGATCGAGACCCTGTCTCAGAACAAACAAAACCCACACACTCAGACCATACAGAAGCGTCCGGGGTCGGATGTCGCAGGCGGTGTGGAGGGTGGAGGCCGGGATCGCAGCCCCTCCCTCTCAAAGCAGGCGCAGACCCTGCCTCGGGGCGGCCAGGCCTGCTGGTCACTAGGACTCCTCCAGGGATGGAGACGGGGTGGGCCCTGGGGACGGAGTGTGTCAGCTGGTGGCAGGAGGAGCAGGGCTGGGAGTGCCCAGTGTGGACTCTGGGATGGCGGGTCACCTCTGGGCCATGTTCTGGGGCGACAGCACGGATCTCTTAGGGATGTGTGGAGGAGGCTGCTGGGAACTGAGGGCCCGAGGTGCCACCCTCTGCCCTGTTCCTCCCATCTCATTTGTAAAGGGAAGCCACCAGGAGAAGGCCCCTTCCCAGCACCTGTCCCACGAAGAGGATCCAGGTGGAGGAGCCCTGGAAAGTGATTCCCACCCTCGGTGTGGCAGGGGCAGCAGTGGGTTTTGGAGCTCCCAGCCCAGGGGTCCGAGGGCCCACCTGGAGCCCTTCCCCAGCTCCCCAGCCCCGAATCAGCCTCTTATGCTTCCGGCAGGCGCTGCACACAGTGATTCAGGCACGACACAGAAGTGGCTTTCCAGGAGGAGAAGGTGCAGTCTAGAAACTCAGCTCCAACTGCCTCAGATTTCTGGGTAAGGAAGACTGGGGAGACCCACCCCAGATTCGCAGGAGCACAGAGCCGCCTGGGAGGGTGGCGCTCACACGGCCGGGTCCAAGTGGGCTCCCGGGGAGCCCTGTGTGCTCGGGTCATTTGGGAACTGCGGGCTCGGTTTCCTCCAGAGGCCTCCCTGGAACCTGCGCTTCCACTACGCATTTCCGCGGGGTGGGTTCCGAAGGTGGCATTTGCTTTTTAACATTTGGGGGAAACTGGATACAGTTGCGAATGCGGGAAATGAGACAGACACGTGCCTCCACCCAGGCTTCCCGTGGGACGTCGTGCTGGCGCTTCTCAGAAGCATCTTAAGGGTCACGTGCGTGCGAGGGAAACGTACTGCGTGTGTTCCGGACAGGCTGGGGGCTCCTGGAGCCTCGGTGTCGGGGGCTTCTCCACACAGTTCTGCCGTCGCCAGGGCCCGCCGGAGCCCCTGCTAACCAGTCCGCCTGCAGGCCCAGCCTCAGCCTCGGGAGCATGGCGGGCAGCTCCAGGCCACCTCTTTGGCTACCACAGAGGGCGTTCCCAGGATCCTGTGGCCGAGGTCCCCGCAGGCAGGCAGGCGTTCCACAGTGGCTTGCCGGCTTCCGATACCTCCCACTCATGATTTCACAGCCCCTGCCCCTGGGCACTCTGGAGACGTGGCACTCTTTGAGACAGGGCCTTGCTTTGTCACCCAGGTTGGAGTGTAGCAGCACGACCTTGGATCACTGAACTTCAGCCTACCAGGCTCAAGTGACCCTCCCAAGTAGCTCCCAACCAGCTGGGACTACAGGCCAGTGCCACTACGCCCAGCCAGTTTAGTGTTTTATAGGGGCAGGGTTTTGCCGTGTTGCCCAGGCTGGTCTCAAACTCCTGGGCTCAAGCGCTCTGCGTGCCTCAGCCTCCCACAGTGCTGGGGTCACAGGCCTGAGCCCCACACTCGCCCGGCTGGCATCATCTCATTACTGACTGTCCCAGTAGCTCGGCTTCCTTGGGGCAAGCTCCCCCCACTGCCCGACGCCAGCCCCGCCTGGGCTCTGGTGATGTGACGACAATCCCGGAGCCCCCAGCACAGTCTGCTTCTGTTCCCTGCCAGGGCAGGGCTGCTTCCGTCGGTTCTTCTGTGGGACGTGTTGTCAAGTCCCACCCTGAGTTTCCCTCGTCATTTTCGAGCGTGGCTGTGCACTGCGTATGTTATAAATGGCTACTTCATTCATTCGCATTTCCCATCGTCCTCAGAGGTGTCTTGAGGGAAGGAGGGAGATGGCACGTGTCCGGCCTGTCTCTGGAGCAAACTTCCACCTCGTTCTAGAGATCCTGGCTCAACCTCCCCTCCTCGGAGTCCAGTCTGACCTGCCTGGGCTCCAGGGCAGGCAGAGGGTCTTGTCACCATCACACAATCCCCCACCCGTGTTGCCATGTACTGCACGCACCAGAATGCTTCCCAGCAGAGAGTTTTTTTTTTTTTTTGGAGACAGCATCTCACTGTCGCCTGGGCTGGAGTCCAGTGGCTCAATTACAGCTCATTGCATCCTCGACCTCCTGGATTCAAGCAATCCTCCCACCTCCCGAGTAGCTGGGACTACAGGTGCACAGCGCCATTCCCAGCCAATTTTTAAAATTTTTTTGTAGAGATGGCCGGTGGGGGAGGGTCTCGCCTTGTTGCCCAGGCTGGTCTTGAACTCTTGGCGTCAAGTGATCCTCCCGCCTCGGCCTCCCAAAGTGTTGGGATTATAGGCATGAACCACTGTACCTAGCCTAAAATTCCACACTTTTAAATAATTTATCTTCCACAGTCATGAGAAGAAACTCACTACCAATTTGACAAAAAAAAAAAACACCCTAGGGTAACTGAGCTGTACACTCCGAAACGGTGAAAGGGTGAATTTACGTTAAGAATTGCGAAGCTAGCCGGGCGCGGTGGCTCACACCTGTAATCCCAGCACTTTGGGAGGCCGAGGCGGGTGGATCACAAGGTCAAGAGATCGAGACCATCCTGGTCAACATGGTGAAACCCCATCTCTACTAAAAATACAAAAAAAATTAGCTGGGCATGGTGGCGCGTGCCTGTAATCCCAGCTACTCAGGAGACTGAGGCAGGAGAATTGCCTGAACCCAGGAGGCGGAGGTTGCGGTGAGCCGAGATCGCACCATTGCACTCCAGCCTGGGTAACAAGAGTGAAACTCCGTCTCAAAAAAAAAAAGGATTGCGAAGCTGTCTCGGAGGGACATGTCACCCAGTGGAGGCCCCTTTTAGCTTTGAAACCAACATGCCCTGTGCCTCTGCATCAGGCAGGCAAGCCGAGGCTCAGCCAGGCCCCACAGGCCCCACTCACCACGGCTCACACCACCAGTGCCCAGGCAGAGGCACCTGGGCCAGGGCTGCAACCTACCCATCCCCGCACCCACGGGAAGAGCATGGCGAAGGTGTGGTGGGCGGCCAGTCCCCCGCTTACCTGGTAGATGTGGCTGGTGACGGAGGAAATGAACTTGGCCTTGTAGAGGTTGCCATCGGTCCACCGGAGCTCCACCAGCTCCCCCTCGGAAGGGGGTCCCAGCCGGGCACAGTCCCTACTCTGCGGGGAGAACAGGTGGGAGCTGAGGTGCTGGCCACACTACGCCAGGGTTTCCGCTGGGTTTTTGACCCTCCCCTGCACTGGCAAGCAAGGTTTTCTGCCTGCAGCCCCGTGGCCGGCCGCGGGAGCCCAGCAGGTGCGCAAGCCCGGCTGTGGGTCGCGTTGCATTGATCAAGCTTTCTGCTCTGTTTCTGCACAGCACAGGGGGCAGTGCTTTTCCTGAAGGGGCCTGGGGACAAGGGGACCCCATGAAGGGATCGGGAGTCAGGCTGTTCCCAGATCCCCCCCACCCCCCGCCCCCGCCCCACAGCCCAGCTTCCCCCACCACCCCCCGCCCCCGCCCCCACCCCACCCCACACTCACAGTGATGCTCTCAGGGTACAGGTTGTCACTGTAGGAGCCATCTTCGAAGTTCACTTCGTAGCAGGTCTGCGAGGCGGCCCCGATGACGCGGCAGCGGTAGTACAGCCCGTTACGGTTCTTGGTGATGACCACCTGGCCTAGGGACACGGCCCTCAAGAACTGGACCTGGGAGGGTGCAGAGGGTGTGGGGGCAGGCGGACGGTCAGCACAGGCACCAGCGGGGGCGGGGAGCCGGGGGTGAGGAGGCGGGCAGACACTCACCGCGTGGCCCCCCGACCTGTGCTTGAGGCAGGTGATGGAGACCACGTAGGGCCAGTCGTCCGGCTCCATGAGCACCCCGGCGGCGTGGGCGCATGTCACATGGAAGGACGTGGAGCAGTGCTCGTAGGAGCACTGGATGCAGGCGCCCGACACCTTCTTCATCCGCTTCCGGCAGTACACGCATTTCTGGGGATGGGGACACAGGCAGGGGCATGGGGCTGGGAACTTCCCTACAGACCCTGGGGTGGAGGCTCCAGCCCCTCCCAGCACAGCCTTTAAGGGAAGCATCGTGGGAGGGGTCCGGTGCTCTGCCCAGCGAGGGGCCTCCACCCCAGCCCAGAGCCCACAGCCTCCCTGGCCAAGCCCTCCAGACCCACCGACCCAGCCTCCTGCCACTCAGCCCCCAGGGAGCAGTAGGCACTGGGGCACCCAGGAGTGCCTCCCATCCCCCTATGTGTCACTGACTGCTGGGACAGACATTGAGGAGCCCCACGTGGTGTCGCTCAGCCAGAGAGGAACCACATGGTGAGAGATGTGCCCTGGGGGCCCCACCATGAGTGCAGGCGGCTGGCGCAAGCCAGACCGTGGGACACAGGATCCACAACACCAGGGTGGCTGCCCACAGACACAGGAAGTGGACTCAGCCCACAGACACAGGAAGTGGATTCATGGGCACCAGGGTGGGGGATGGGGACGACTGGTAATTTTTTGTAGAGGTGGAGTCTGGCTATGTTGCCCAGGCTGGTCTCAAACTTCTGAGCTCAAAGGATCCTCCCTCCTTGACCTCACAAAGTGCTGGGATTACAGGCGTGCACCACCGTGTGGGTCCTTTACGGCGGATTTTAACAAGAAGCCCTGCAAAGGAGCCTGCGTGGTGAGGAGGGAGCATTGCAGTGGACCTTCCAGACGGTGGGGCTCACGCTGCAGCACCTGCCCGAGTCAGCACTGGGCCCTGGTGGCCGCCACACCCGTGCCAGGCCCAGCTAAGCATTTAATACACAGCGCCATCACTGCTCCATAAACAATGCTCAAAAGCCAGATAAGCCACGGGCTAGAGCAGCGATTGACAGCATTGAGATCCCATTATCGAACTGTCAATACCCAATTCTCCTGTCACACGACATGCGCCACACAGCCCTCCAGCGTGGCCTCCCCCTCCTGCAGATCAGCCCGTGTGTAGGAGTCACAGCTGCGCTCCGTGGGGGGCCTGGGAGAGGCCCCGCTGGGACACTGTCCGGTGGGGTTGCTGAGCCATCTGCGCCACATCACCACCCACAGGCGTCCGCCCCTCAGCCCAGGCCCGGGAGAAACCCGCCACTGGGGCAGTCTGGGTGTGGTGTACAGCACCATCCCCTTCCACCCTGTAGTGGCGGGCAGCCTGTGCCCCTGGGTCTCCATGCTGTGAAGAGCATGCCCCAGGACCCATGGGGCCATTTGTCAGGAGCTACACTTGGGGCCACGGCCGCCCAGAGCCATCCCCCTAATGCGAGGTCCCAGTCACGCCATGCACTGTGGCCACGGGAGGTCAGGCAAGTGTTCTTCGCCGTCACCTCCCTTCCCTGGAGCTGCAGTTTGAAGAGCCACTTCCAGTGCTGGCCTGGCCCAGGGCAGTCACATGACATGTGCCATGAGCCACGGAGCCCTCCAGCACAGCCTCCTCCTACTGCAGGGCTGCCAGTGTGTAGGAGAGGCGGTCGGGGAGCAGGGTCTATGGCCCCTGCGGGGCCTGGAAGGGCCCAGATACCAATGGTTGGTTCACAGTTCATAGCTCAGTGTCCTTCCTCGGAGGCCACAGGGCTGTGAGGATGATGTGTGGTGGGCTTTGGAGGTCTGCAGGGCGCCACGGACTGGAGGAGGCAGGTGGTCACCGCTGGGTGCCACCCATGACACCATGTCCTCAGCCTGTCCCACACTGGGGCATAAGGCTGTCCACCAGCCTGGTTTCACAAACAACTGCAACCTCTGAGGAGCCGAGGGCCCCCCACCCCCGACCTCGCCCTAACCCTCCAGGCAGGGCAGTGGCAGTGTGGAGAGCTGGTGCAACTGCCCCTCCTGCCCCCCGGGAGCTGCCTCCTCCCGTCCCAGCCCCTCCCAGACCTCCCAGCGCCTCCACGGAACTCCTGCCGCCACCAGGAGCCAGCCCTGCGGGTAGCTGAGGGAGCTTCTTCGCTGCACACCTTGAGAGCCTGGCCCAGGCAGGCGGGCAGCCGGCCAGAGGCCCCTGACTACCAGGACTGCCCGCAGCTCTGAGCTGCTGGCTCAGGTGTCCCGGAGACAGACTGATGGACAGGGAACCAGGAGTGAGCACCCGTGCCTGCGGCCTGCCCGTGGCCCCTGAAGGCGGGTGGGTGGCTGGGCGAGCAGGAGTGAACTGCCACCTCCTTGCAAAGCTCCATTAAGCAGTACAAGCGGGCCTTGTGTAAAAGGATTTTTAATTCATCGTTACAAGCACCAGTAATGAAGAGTCTGCATTCTGGAAATGTCAGATGATCCATAAGGCGTCGGGCGGGAGGATTTATCACTGGCGCTGCGCACCGCGCCATCACTCCACCTGAATAATGAGGCCTTTTATGCCCGAGTTTGTGGACTGAGCCACTGGTGCCTCGGAAGCATCACCCTCGGGCTGCTGGCTTCCTAATCACCTGGCCGTGCCCAGCCATGCCCAGCCGTGCCCGGCCAGGCTGGCGTGACCTGCCTCACGCTCTGCCCCATGATCGAGGCCTCCCCTTCCAGATAAGCCTTGGTGACTGCCCGCGCGGCCCTGCTCAGGTGGCCTGGCACCTGTGGGCTCCAAGCATGGCATCCCAGCCCGCTGGGCTCGTGGGCACCTAGCACCAGTGCACGGGAGCCTGGGCTCTGTGGTGGGCGTCAGTCCGACCCTCATGGGTCTCCCCAGCAGACCCACCCTGCCAGCCGGATGTGTCTGCTTCCAGCCCCACCTCCACATGAGCCTGAATGTCAACACCAGGCACTGTGTCCACGGCTGGAGGATAAACCAGGCAGGAAAACCATGCAGGACGCTGTGGGGTGCCACTGGCTGCGGGCCCAGCCTCCAGGGGCCCACGAGACACACGTGCAAAGGCCAGAGGGGATGGGGAAAAACGTGTCCCCCCATCAGCACTGCCTCATGCACAGCCTTTACTGGGGACGCGGGCCCAGCCTCCAGGGGCCCAAGAGACACATGTGCAGAGGCCAGAGGGGATGGGGACAAACGTGTCCCCCCATCAGCACTGCCTCATGC